AAGAGATATGGACAAGGCGGCCCTTTTACGTTTCGCGGAGTGCGATTCACGGCGGAAATCACCGGGAGTATGACCGAAAGGGTGAAGAGTCCCGTTGTGGGGATAAAAAACAGAAAGTGCATAATACCAAGGTGATGGCGCAGTGACTGTAACTTGTATATAAAGAGACGGAGCACTAGGATGCAAAGAGACCAATAGCCACATAATTTGGCTTGAAAACTTTGGAGGCGAATCCAAGCGCGGAAACTAGCAGTGGAGCAACGGTAGACCAGCGAATACATGCCTCAAGCGGACAGGGAGTGGGAAATGAGGGTCCTACAAAGCGAGCGTCCTTTGGAAGCAGGCGTGGTATATCCTAAGAGGGTGCATCCTAGGTTTTGACCACGGCTATCTAAAAAAAAATAACAGGTGTTGGAACTGCAGTGAGAGGCCTGGTACCGTCCTTACCAGTTATCGTGGTCCGACGGCCACACAGGCCCGAGTCTGGGCGTCGTTAGAGCGAAACAGGGCAGCCTGAATTGCGAAATACGCATGGACGCTGCGCGCGAGTTCACGCACAGGCCAACCCACGGTCTTCGTGAACGGGCTCCTCAAACCAATGTTGAACGCACCAACGATCTAGTCGCCTTGGATTGGTTGTGTCGAAGTACGTAGCCGGAGCAGTGTAAGAATCCCAGTGTGCTTGGCTGAGTATCGGGGTTTAAATTTCTTGATTTAAACCTCAATATTTCAAAAATGCCAATCGTAACGATTCCTATTTCGCACCCAACTTTATAGTCAAGTTTTTTCTCTTACCTGGTAGATTTCCATCCACATTCTGACATACGGACTGTTGGGTATTGCAGCTAACGAGGTATCGATAGACCATATTCCAAAACACTCCGCTTAGTGATTTTATTTACTTTTGGAGCTGACCAAACAACTACGGCCAGCCATTTGGCGGGCATTGCCTTCCCGCCCCTTCTCACTTGTTGCATATATAGTCATAGATTCCCAGTAAGGTTATTTGCACATACCCTGAGGCTCCACAAGTAAACAAAATCACTAAGCGGAGCGTTTTGAAATTTGGTCTATCGATACCTCGTTAGCTGTGAGTGGTGGGAAAGCGCTGTGCACGGTTCCACGCCGGAATATCAGATGGCCTCGGCGTGAAACGAAACAATTGCGGCAGATGGGCTCTGTGCGCGACTCCACACGGGAGGACGTTCCGTATTTCGAGAGTCCGAACTGCCGCCGATCCGCCGATCCGCCTGTGCATCATCGATCATCACGTGCACATAACATACATATTTCAGAAAAGAAATGGGGCCGAGCGCGACGAGTACACGCAACTGCGGGGTAGCTAGCTGCGAGGGTGGCCATTACTAGCTCAAATTCATAATATCTACGGTACACCTGTCTTATGCACAACTAGGACAGTAGTAGTATTTATGTGAGCCAGTCCACCTAACACACTGGACAGCAACAAAATAGAAATACGGGGAACCCATTCATCGAGGGAGAGATGAGGCCGTTCGTTGAAGGGGAGTGTGCTCATCGAGGGAGGGAGGAGGCTGTTCGTTGAGGGAGGGAGGAGGCCATTCGTCGAAGGAGGAGAGCGTTCATCGAGGGGGAGGCCGTTTGTCAAGAAAGGGCCGTTTGTCAAGAAAGGGCCGTTTGTCAAGAAAGGGCCGTTTGTCAAGAAAGGGCCGTTTGTCAAGAAAGGGCCATTTGTCAAGAAAGGGCCGTTTGTCAAGGTAGGAGGCCATTTGTCGAGAAATGAGAAGTTTTGCCATTTGTCGACGGCAGGGCGCCATTTTTTGAGGGAGGGAGAGGGCTGTTCGTTGAGTTCGTCGAAAGGGGGCCGTTCACCATTTGTCGAGGAAGAGAGGGGACCGTTCGTTGAAAGATGAGGCCGTTCGGCATTTGTCGAGGGGGGAAGGGGGGTTAGTCCATCGAAAGGGGAGGCCGTTCGCCCATTCGCCTTTTGTCGAGGGTGCCGTTCGTCAAGGGTGGCCATTCGCCATTTGTCAAGGGAGGGGGCATTCTTCGAGGGAGGAGGCCGTTCGCCACTTGTCGAGGGAGGGAGGGAGAGAGGGGGGGCCATTTATCGATGGGAGGAGGCCGTTTGTCGATGGGAGGCGGTGAGGGGAGGCCACATCCAGCCTCGACTCTCTGGTGGGAGCTTTAGGTTTGGGCTGTATTACCCACTTGGACTCCTTGTACGCTGAGGGACACGTCAGCACCTGTTCAATGTCAACAGGACATTCACTCACCTATGGCCTTCCTGTGCTACAGCGGGCATCGTACTTAGCACGGGAGTTGCGATAGGTTGGCCAAAACAGGCGAAGAGACGTCAGCGCCATCATAGGCAATGGCTGAGCCGACACCTGAACTAACCGTCGTAACCGTCTGTGGTTGATACAGATCCTTGCACAACTGCGTCGAGCGGGCAGTGCCCACAGGTGTTTAAGAGGGCCGTGACCGCGTTTGCAGAGGTAGGTGTCGTGCGAACTCTGGAGAGGCGGACTGGCGGATCGGCGGCAGTTCGGACTCTCGGAATACGGAACCTTCTGGACAATCGTAACGATTCATTTCAATTCGCAACCACATGTACATCTAGCACCCAAATACAAGTCGATGATAACAACAAATTGTGCATTCGTCCTACTGCAGCGAATTATCGGCATGGTAAAATTGTGCTCTCCCAAAACAATCCCAAAACCGAAACAATTTGCGGGAAGGCTGTAGATGTGTCAAAGGCCCATGCAAATCCATTCAGTCAATGCTTCCGAACGTCACACCTGTGCTGGCCCAACGCGTACGAGAGGTGCAGTGTGTGAGCAGCACAACGCAGCTTTGTTGTACTAGCTGCATGTACCGCCTGAGTGGCGTTGTCTAGAATGATCATTGCTTCCCGGAATTTAGGTAGAAGCCTGTCTCTGTACCACAGCCAACTGAACATACGACAATTGTCTGAGCTAAAGTTCACCCACCTCGAAGCTGATGAGATGGTCTCTCCCAAAAGCAGATCTTGGATGCACTCCTTTAGCGGTGATCGCAATTGCGGCGATCGAGCAAGGCCCTTCAAAGTGTTACATTCAACATTCAAGTGCTGTTCGTTATCATGCAAGCCGTACCTGCCCCAAAGATAAGTGGTCGTTGACCACCATTGCAACAACCGCCACTGCAACATAATCTTTCAGCCCGTAGCACGGAGCGGACAAAAGTTTGATAAGTATTTCGCAGGTTGAGCGGAAAAAAGTCCCAAAGAAGGAGTCTGGTGCAGCGTCCATAAGGGCGGTGAAAGCTTCCAGAGCTGCCAGCTTTTCAACGGTGTCTTGGGAGCAACAATCTGTAGATAGGTGCATTTAGCCAGCAGACGAAGTGGGAACGTTCATCGTGACCGGCTCACCGTGAGATTGTCCCAGTGGAACATGCTTGAGAATTTGTAGTGTGAGCAGGCCAATGGAAAAAATCTCGTTGTCCGAAAGCTCTCCAATGTATGATCGAACAATGCCCATAGCGAACAAGCAGCGTACTTTGTAAGTCCCATCGGTAGCTTTAGCGCCCGCAACGGCGGCGGGTAAAACGAGTGAAACAAAAGGTCGAAATTGGTTGAGCGACGAGGATTTCGATATGCAGATTACGGCTGCCATCGCTGCCGATCGACTCTCGAGTGAGGTCGCAGTCAAAAAGGAGTTCACAATTTTCATGACATCAGGCAGGTAAGGATCAAAGGCTCCTTCAACAGCAGAGGCGACTATCCCCAAACTTTCGACCGCTGGCAAGACATGAGTCGGTTTATACCGTTGATTGGTGATGAGCTTCTGGAGTGCCGTCATAATGTTCGGCAGATTCTGTTTAATTGTATCCGCAGCACTGTACATCTCTAGAACGGCTTTGAGCGCTCGGCCACCAACGAGGTCGAAAGGAATGCCGGAACCTATGAAACGGGGATCAGTAGGACATGTTATCCACGACTGCAGGAGCTATAGGATATTGGCGATGTGGCATCAACGTGGGCTGAAATCTCGTGAACAATCTAATTTACCGTCAAGAAGAACGCCAAGTGATTCTGGCATTTTTGCATGATGCGGGGGTTTTGTCTCCAGTGAAGAGCAAGCGTTGGAAGTATGTGCAAGACGAGGGGGCAAGGATCCAGTGCAAGAGCTTCGATCCTTGACCACAGAGGGCGGCTGAGTATTGAATCATCGAGGATAAATGATGCTGAAACGGTGCCGACGAGCGAGAGGGCTGCGAAACGGTTGACAGGGTTCAATGATACGATATTCTTTTTGAAATAAGTCCATATTTCAGCCTTTAAGTCGGAAGGCGGCATGGTCTCCGCCAAAACCAGGATGACATCAAGGGCTTCCTGTTGTAAAGATAAATCAGGAAACAACAGCTATTGTTGGCAGGCGGGGTAATCACAGTAACAGGGGCTTTATCATAAAAAGAAGGAATCGAGTCTGCTTGTCGCATGGAAAATAAATTTACAGTAATGGCTTCCATGACGTTGCAAACGATGAGGGGCATAAGTGCCTGCTCCTT